CCACACTCCAGGCACACGTAAGGTTTCTCACCTGAGTGTGTCCTCTGGTGTCTGATGAGATTTGATTTGCTGTTAAAGCCTCGCCCACACTCCTTGCACACATGTGGCTTCTCCCCTGAGTGTGTCCTCCAGTGCTTAAGGAGGTTTGATTTCTGTTTAAACCCTCGGCCACACGCCTTGCACACATAAGGCTTCTCCCCGGAGTGTGTACTCTGGTGTATAAGGAGGCATGATTTCCAGTTAAAGCCCCGCCCACACTGCAGGCACATGTAGGGTTTCTCCCCTGAGTGTGTCCTCTGGTGGCTGATTAGAGTTGATTTCTGGTTAAAGCCTCGCCCGCACTCCAGGCACAAGTAAGGTTTTTCACCAGAGTGTGTACTCTGGTGCCTGATAAGATTATATTTGTTGCTAAACCCTCGCCCACACTCCTTGCACACATGTGGCTTCTGCCCTGAGTGTGTCCTCTGGTGCATGAGGAGGACTGATTTCTGGGTAAATCCCTGGCCACACTCACTGCACACATAAGGCTGCTCCACTGAGTGTGTCCTCCAGTGAATAAAAAAAAGTGATTTCTGGTGAAAACTTTGGCCACACTCACTACAAACATAGGGCTTCTCCTGTAAGAGGGACCTCTGGTGTGTGATGAAGTCTGACTTCATGCCACAGTCTGGTTCATCCTCTCTAGAGCTGACTGCTCCAAATCTTGAGGTTTCTAATTCCTTCAACCCTTGACTTCTTTCCACAGACTTTACCCTTTGGGCTGAGTTGAGCTCCACTCCTACCTCTGTGTTGCCTTCTCTAGAGCTTGCTGACTGTGTTTGGGGTGGGATGGAGAACGCCCTGGAAGTCCCTCTCTCCCCTCTCCTCCCACACAAGGGTCTGGAGACTTCTTCTCTCTCTTGACCTTCTGTGTTTTCCCTCCAGCAGCTCTGATCAGAATCCTGCCGCTCTGGCTGCTTCTGATGCCCTGGGCTGGAATGCCCTGGGTGGAAGTGATGTTCCGCACAGAAACCTGGGAAGATGGGAAGCACGTGTTGGCTGAGGAATCGCTGACAGGAGACAGCCAGAAGGCAGGAGGAGCAGGGGTGGAGTTCTGGCTTCGGTTCTGCTGAAGAGAGAAAGGTTTCCGTTAGAGTAGCCATAAGTGGGCTCCTGGGCTCTTCTCCTTCTCTTATGACAGACAGTATCTCATTGCTGGAGTCCCTGGGTGGCACCATTAAGTACTCGACTACCGGTTGAAAGGTTGGCGGTTCAGAAGACGGGCCTGGCAATCTGCTTCTGAAAGGTCACAGCCTTGAAAACCTTACAGAGCAGTTCTACTTGGCAACATGGAGTTAGCATGGATTGGAATCAACTAGACGGCACTTAACAACAATCTCATTGCCACACTTGTAGCTGACAATATCTACAACACAATTTGTTTCCTACCAATAATTCATTTATATTCCAGTTTTACAAATACACTTTCTATTGCAATCCAGAAGGAGCCTTGGTGGCACAATGGTTAAAGTGCTCGGCTGCTAACCCAAGTGCCAGCAGTTCAAACCCACTAGCCACTCCATGAAAGATGTGGCAGTCTGCTTCTACAAAGACTTCCAGCCTTGGAAACCTTATCGGGCAGTTCTACTTTGTCCTAAAGGGTCGCCATGAGTCAGAATCGACGCAATGGCAGTGGTTTTGGGTATTGTGACACAGACATCCACGACAAAAACCTCTTTAACATGTCAGCCTAAACAGGAACTTCTCAAATAAGCATCAGACACTATTCTGCCTTGTAAACACTTTTATTATAGCTCACCTTTTTCTTCTACTAAAATCCTATAAGCCCTAGGCACTCACATTGATATATACTGTCCATAACCTCTGCCAATACTTGGAAATAACATTTCTACGACCTATGTGGAAAGCTCCATGATTTTTCTTACTATAAAAAGGGACTGACAGGCATAAAAAGTCACTCAGTCTGGCAAGCTTTCAAATGTCGGAGACAGTCGATGTGTAAAAATGGCATTTAGTAGTGTCTAAACCTGCCCACCTCGGGGGGATAATGACCAGGAGCAGCCCAAAGCTGATTCCCATGAGGTGGAGGTCAGACATACTTTCACCTTCCAACATTTTCCCCAATTCTGACACCAGCCGTACTCCCCACGGCACTCTGCCTCTCTTCCGGGTTCAATAATCCGTTGCAATGGCCACAAAGAACTTACAGTTAAATGGTTTATTAAGGAAGAGGGTACAACTCGGGATCAGGATCAACAGGCCACAGCTCAGGATGAGGATCAGGAAGCACGCAGGCAGTTTACTCTCATAAGTGCAGGACAGCTCTCTCAGCTCCTCTAAACTCTGCAGGCCTTCTTTCAGCCCCCTGAGGAGACGCATGCTCTTGGTGCCCTGAAGACAGGCTTCTCTCAACCACCTCAGGACAGGCCCTTCTCAACCCTCAGGGTACACTCCTGAACCCCTCAGGACACATTCTTCTCGGCCTGCCATCTGAGACCACCAGCTCTGCCGCTGGGCCCGTCCTGAACTTGCAGACTCTGCCAGTGGGCCGCTTCCTGGCCTCTCGCTATCTTCAGTGTTATAGCCCTTGATCCCCGTTACAGCTCTCTTAGGAGGTTCCTTGTCTCCTCTCTCTCTCTGCTGCTTTTTGCTTCTTTTTTTTTTTTCCTTCTGCTTCTTACTGCTGCCTCCCTTCCTGCTTTTCTGTCTCAAAAATCCTCTGTGGGGCTAGCTGCTTATATACACCAACTTCTTGTCACTTTCAAGGCATGGCCCCCACGAGGGCCATAAGCCGAACAATCCCCTCTCAGTATGCCACACACTACCTTTCTCCAGTTGACTGACCAATCCCTGCAGGTGCACACCAATCACAGAGCAGGCTGCAGCCCATGACCAAACCGTAAGTATCAAAACCAAGTTATTTACAGCTTACCCAGGAAAGGTAACAAACCCTCTAGGGTAGAAAACTAGGGCAAAGGTCACTCTTCAGAGTTTAGGGGGACAATCTCTCAAGGTGTTTTTCCAAGGACCAAGCCAAAAGGCCACATAAAGGAACTCATTTCACCACAATATGCAAAAATGGTTATAGAGACTGTATATGAAATAAATCTGAATTACAGTTGCTTACTCAGAAACAAATACCTACTCAGTTATTTTATTTGTTAACCCTCTGTGATCTTTGTTTTAGTTTCTGACAATCTGTTTGCACTTCGCTTGCTTGGGCTGGGACTGCTGGGCTATACTGGCAGTATACTGGGTGTCGTGGATTGAATTATGTCCCCCAAAAAATGTGTGTTTCAATTTGGCCAGGCCACGATTCCTGGTATTCTGTGGTTTTCCTATAAATTGTAAATCCTGCCTCTACGATGCTAATGAGGGAGGATGGGTGGCAGTTGTGTTAGTAAGGCAGGACTCAGTCTACAAGATTGGATTGTATCCTGAGGCAATGTCTTGAGATATTAAAGAGAAGTGAGCAGTGAGACAGGGGGACCTCATACCATCAAGAAAGCAGTGTCGGGAGCAGAGTGCGTCCTTTGGACCGGGGTCCCTGTGCAGAGAAGCTCCTAGTCCGGGGGAACACTGATGAGACGGCCAACAGAGAGAAAAAGCCTTCCCCTGAATTTGGACTTTTAGCCTACTTTGACTGTGAGAAAATAAACTTCTCTTCGTTAAAACCATCCACTTGTGGTGTTTCTGTTATAGCAGCACTAGATAACTAAGACACTGGGGCTGAGCTGCTCAAACGTGCTCAGGTCCGGGGGCTTGGCAGCCTTGCCATGTCTGAGTCTCTCAGCGGGCTCTGGGGGCTCTCTCAGAGGCTCCCCAAGTTTACTTTATTTATGTAGGTTCTCTGAGTAACCTAACTAGGGTTTGCTTCTATTTCTGGCCAGTTATCTCCTGTGAGACCGTGTGGTAACTCCAGAGTTTTGAGAGCTGAACTCTCAGTCTTGATTTTTTGATCCCCTGTGATTTGTTGCTGTCTTCCCTTGGGCTTACCTACAAGCGCACCAAGTCATTCAGACTGCAGTCTGTTACACTCTGCGTCTCTGAGAAGGATTTTAGTGGGAGAAAGAATCTCTTTTGTGTCTATTCTGAGTTAAACATGGGACCTGCAGGCTCATGACAGTTATCACCCTTGTTAAAGGAAATCACATAAATTCACTATAATTCTAATCCTGTACAAGCAAAAGTGTCATTTCACTAAAGATCATTTAGATTTACAGAGGCCACTTTGGGGAACTCTGTTTTACATTGTGGCCTCTTACCCCTGAATAAGAACAACTGTATTTCTAAAGAACAACTGTATTTACTTACATCAACCACAGTACAATTATCACAATCAGAACACTTAATGGCACCATACTGTTAGGTGCCATCAAGTCGATTTCAACTCATAGTGTTGCCATGTGACAGAGCAGAACCGCCCTATAAGGTTTCCTGTGCTGTAATCTTTATGGGAGCAGATCTCTAAGTCTTTTCTCCTGCAGAGCCACTGGGTGGGCCGAACTCTTGACCTTTCGGTTAGCAGCCGAACACTTAACTGTTGTGCCATCAGGGTTCCTTAATGGCACCATCCGGTTGTATTTATACAGAAGTTATTCATATTCACCTGGGGTGTGTGTGTTGTGTGGATAGGTATATGTCTGTCTGTGTGTTTGTGTGTGCATCTCCAAATACTTTAAAACCCGAGTCTATTCTGACACCTCCTGTTCAAATCTAAATCCAGGTTGTTTCTGGCCTTCCCCATTCCATATTTGTATCTCACTTCTCCAATAGTGAGAAATCTGCCTCCCAACATCAATATATTTATTCATTTACTTAATTTTAAAATTCAAAGAACAGGGTTTAAGAAAAGTTGACCCATATAGCTACAAAAAACAAATATACAAAATATAGTTCAAGATTTATGTATAGGTTTTTTTTTAAGGGGTGGTCAATAAACAGAGTTGGTCAACTTTTTCTGTAAAGGATCAAACAGTAAATATTTTAAGCTCTGCAGACTACAAGGTCTGTTCCAACTACTCAACTCTGCCATAACAGAATGAAAGTGGCCACAAACAATACATTAATGAGTGGCTGTGTTCTGAACATTTTACTTACAAAAATAGGTGGCAGGCCAGATTTGACCTTTCGGCTGTAGTCTGCTAAGCCCTGCTTTAGACAGAATATAAGGTCAAAGTCCTCTGTTCAGAGGTTAATTGAGTTGTTCTCCCCCTGTTCACTGTGGTCATGTTATTCATTTGAAATATTTAGATTTGTTTTTTGTATTCTATTTTAGGGTTTTCTCCCTATCTTTGTTGAATTAATTTCATTTCTTTGAGTACATCAAACACCTGTATGGTTCCAAATGTGAAAAACTATTCAAAAGGTAACCTCAGAAAAATGTCTCTCCTTCCCACATTCTTCCAGCAATATCCTATACAAAACCCCTTAGGAGATCAGTCTCATTATTTTCTGGTTTATCCATCCTGTATTACTTTCTGTAAAAAGAAACAAGCAGATATTTAATTTTTTCTTTTTACTTTTATTCATTTTGTTGTTGTTACTGAGAATATACTCAGCAGAACATACACCAATTCAACAGTTTCTACATGTACAATGCAGTGACATTAATTCTTCGAGTTGTGGAACCATTCTCAACCTCCTTTTCTGAGTTCCTCCCTCATTAATATAAACTCACTGCTCCCTAAGGTTCCCATCTAATCTTTTGAGTTGTCCTTGTCAATCTGATCTCATATAGATAGTTCTAAAAAGAGAATAATGCTCAAGGCACACATTGTTTTACTAGTTAAGCTATATTGTGGTTTGGTTTTAAGAAAATTTAGGGACATTATGATAAAAAATTCCATAGAAGAATTCTGATGAAAAGGAGAAAATGGAGAACAGAATTTCGAATTCTCATGGTGTCACAGACTGAATCATGCCCCCCCCCCTCCAAATATGTGTGTATCAATTTAGCTGGGCCATGATTCATGGTACTGTGTGATTTTCCTATATGTTGCAAATCCTGCCTCTATGATATTAATGAGGGAGGATGGGTGGCAGTTGTGTTAGTGAGACAGGACTCGATCTGCAAGACTGGATTGTATCTTGAGGCAATCTCTT